TTTTTTTTTTTTTTTTTTTTTTTTTTTGGTACCGGGGATCGAACTTGTATCCTTGCGCTTGCGAGGCAGGCCACCGAACCGCTGAGCTAAATTCCCGGCCCTTGCTGAAAAATTTTTATATCCAGCACAAACAAAACCTACATACATTCTATAGAGTAAACATTTAATTGGTTTTAAACTTGTGGTTACCATTATATTGGAAAGATGACAGGACAAATAAAATAAATAGGACAAGTATGTATTCTGTAAAACAAACTACAGTGAAGGTAAAGCTTTTCATGTGACTGCAGATATGAGATTTCCCTAATGTTATAAAATCACCATTAATCGACTTACAATTTCCTTGCAGAGCTAGGAGAATTGAAAAAATAGAAATACATTATGCCCTATAATCTCAGAAAGGTTGCAGGAAGTAAGGCAAATAAGTTTATGGATGCAATAAAACTTGCACCTCAATCATCAATGAATTAGAGCAGCTTTTTGAGTTATCATATGTACCTGTGACACCCGTGAAAAAAACATGGCCAGTCTGTATTCTTCAAGGGCACATAAGCTGCTAATAGGTTGCCAGCATATTATTTTAGGATGAAATGACTGAATTTCATTATCCTTTTTCCCAGCTCTTTGGTTTCACTAGTGGGGTTCTTAGACTCTTGTGGGCAGCCCTGAACTTGATGTTCTGAGTTACTCTATTCATGCTGTTCAGTATGGTAACTGATAGCCACTGTGACTATCAAAGCACATGAAAAGTGAGATGTGTATTTTTAAGTGGTGCCTGGCTATGTTAGGCAATCAGTAATACAAATGTCTCAGAGTGAATTCTAAATCACTCACATGCACGCGTCTTCGCCAGAGTGAGGGCTGAGAATCACTTGAGTTTTCCTATCTGCTTCCTACATTCCAGCTAACTCAACTGTTGAACTGATTTCTGATTGTGGGAGGTGGTAATGATGGAGGAGGTGGTAGTAACAGAGAAGGTGCTGTTCAGGCTGATCCTTTGGTAGGGTTAGGACACGGTCACTTGGAGAGGAGGAGGAATTACTGCAGACAGTGGACAGGGCGTCTCCAGGGGCATGGTGGGCACTCAGGTGGGACAGGAAGTTAGGGTAGGAGGATGGACGGAAACAATGCATGGGAATGGAGGCGCCCAATCATAAATTCTTGTTTGTCACCTGAAGATCTTGTACTTTATTTTAAAGTACACCTGTTGCTCAGCTTCTAAGGTATGTAAGGATGTCCTGGGGCTACGTATAGTCAAAAGGGTACTCATAAGTGGAAGATAAAAGCACAAGATTCTAACCGTACTTCTGTGTGGTCTCCACAAATTACTTATTTTCTTTAGGCCTTGTTGCTTACCTGGGTGTATTCCTAGCCAAGCCAAATAACCAGCAAGATAATATAATATCCTTTTTTGCAATTTTGGTGCAAGGTCAGAAACAGTTATAAGAAGCATGCTTATTACAGCCACATCAAGGCCATTGTATAAAAACCGTGTTGACTAAGTAGATCTGAACTAGGCTCTCTGAAGTGTACTCCTTTCTTTCAGTCTAACTTACCTAAATGCAAAAGAAAGTAAATAGCCCAGGGAGATGCAGTGACTAGCTGGAGATTATCCACTACCTAGTGTGGTGCTGGGCTATTTTAACATTTAGAAATTATGCAGAATCATCACATTAGAGGGGAACTTAATGGAGATTTAGATCACTCAGCCCTGGATTACAAACGAAGATGTGGAGGCCTCTCCAGAATTGTCGTTTGCCTAAAGCTACATGGTTAATGACCGAGCAAAGACTAGAGCTGAGCAGCTTCGTCAAGGTCTGTTGTCATTTTCTGCTAGATTTCCTTGCCTACTCTTACACTATGCTTGATAGTTTGTCATGGAGTCATGGGAAGGCCACATTGCTATTAACTCTGTCCTATAAATGGCTTTTTATTACTGCAATGTATATGTATATATGACTTACGTAACATAAGTCATTCTGTATTTGCTGTGGAGTTGTGTATCCTAGCTAAATAGCCCTTCAATGCATATTGGAGAATATTAGAAATTTGAAAAATGAATATTTCCTTATAATTACTACAGAGGAAAAGGACACCTTTTTAAAAGTTCTGCTTTCAGCTTCCAATTTAAATACAACCATAATTTATTTTTTGTGTTTTTAGGTTACTTTAATCTGTGCATACTGAACCAACTATATTCAAATGATAGTATCTCATAATTTTGCGCAAAATATTAAGCAATTATAGTAATTCTGTAATGAAACAATTCATTGTTAAAATGGAAAAAGCCCAACAATGAACTAATCACTATATTTACACATTAGTTAAAGACAGAGCTGGCTTCAGCATTAAGGAAATAAACTTTCTCAGTAAAATTTCTGAAACACTCTTCAAACAGAGTCTATTTAACATAGACTTCTAGCCAAGCCTTCCGATTACTGAACTCTCTGAGCCTGGACATCGGTGTTTATTTCATTATTATTATTATGCTACACACGGATAGAGCCCAGTTCACGATGAGCTACATCCGCAGCCCTTTTTTCCCCCATTAAGTTTATAGGTACATTTAAAGCAAATAATACAATTACATTTACCATTGGTTCCTATACCTTTACATGACAGGTCTTGGTCCTTATTTTCTTTCCTTACCCCTGCCCTCCCTTATTACAAAGGCTTTGTTTCCATTTTTTCCTTTTTTCGCATTTTTTTTTATTTTCCCTTAGTTCCTTTCCCTACCCTTCCCACTTCCCCTTTAGCCATTTTCTTCCTATTTTAGTTTTATTTTGAGACAGGATGTCATTAAGTTACATTTCCCAAGATGGGTTCAAACTTCCCACCCTCCTGCCTCAGCCTCTCAGAGCACTGGGATCATACTTGTGTGCTGGGATTACAGGTGCAAGCTGCCACACCTGGTGACATTTGTATTCTTAAATGTTTCTTAGATGATGCTGATGTCTAGCCAGGTGTGAGAATCAGTGATACAAATCTCTGTACTTCATGCTGAATGACCTGCGTTCATGTCTCACCCCAAGAGTGCGGCTTGAGAGTCACTTCAAGTCTCTCTGAGCCTATATTTCAGTTAAGTCAACTGGTTAGCTGATTTCTGAGTTCAGGAAACTAGAAAACAGTGTCTGGTTGGTTGCTTGCATACAAAAGGCACTGGAAGGCTCTGAACTGTAGTTTCCTTGGCTCTTTACCTCCTCTTTTCACTTTGGGTGTTGCAAGTTCTAGAAGCTGTGGCCAGGAGAAATCTGTGCTTTCTGCCTTGCTGAGCTCTTTGTGTTGATTAAATGAGACAGGCAGCAATATTCAGGTGTGCTTCAGGGGTAGCAAAACAGGCAGGCTTAATTTACATATTCATGAAACAAAACTGTTTGAACTTAGTTGCGCGTGCACACACACAGATACATTGCGGTGGTGTTTTCCTTTAAATGCTTTACATGAACAATATTTCCCAAGGTTGCATTATTGATGAACACAAGAACTACATCTGGAGGAAATCCTTTGAAATTAGATTCTAAATCCACATTAATGCCAAGTAAGTAATGAGTAATGAGAGGTATTGAATAGGAGTGCTGCGAGCCACGGGGAGAAAAAAACAAAACAAAACAAAAAGATGGAGTTTTTTTTTTTTTCTTTTCTCTAAGATAACATTGAGCAAATGCTCAATTCCTTGCTTTTCCTAGGTCAAGGTTTGTGTAAGCTGTATGTCTGTGTCTGTGCGTAATAAATACAATAATGGGGAAACCGGATCTTTAAAATGTTACAGCTTTGGAAATACATCACCAATGCTCAGCTTTTGTTTGAATTCATGAAAGGAAGCAACAGCAAGCACACAAACCAAATGGCTGTTCTCACTGTCATAGAAACAGAAGCAGGAGGACGAAAGGTTGTTTGACCTTTCTCTTCTCACCCTTACCTCACCTTCGGGCAGATGACGTTTTTATTTTTTAGTAACGTATCTGTATCTTAGTTAATTTTCCCCAGAGAAGGTGTTAGATATACGTGTCAGAACAAATCTTCAGACAAATCTGATCCTGCTTTAATTGTGTCTTCGCCAGGTAAAGAAAGTAATCCCAGCACTTGGGAGGCTGAAGCAGGAGGATCACTGTGAGTTCGAGACCAGCCTGGCCTACATAGTGAGTTCCAGGTCAGTCTCAACTACATAGTGAGACCCTGTCTCAAAAACAACAACAAAAAAAAAGTATGTTTTTTTTTGTCATTCAAAGACACAGCTATTATTCTTCAGAGAGATTAGCTCAGGACAAATGAAAAGCAGAGTAGCCTTGTAGGCGGGCTAGGGGAAGGACAGAAACCTTCCATTTAGTTACCAGCATTCTTTAAAGGCATGTTCTTTTGTGGGGCCATAATGTTGCCTGGCCTCTACCTAGATCTACCTGAGCAGGTAGACTTGTGTTTGGATGCAGGTAGGTAGACAGACTTGAGTTTGAACAGGTGAAGGGATTCTTCTTGCAAGGACTTGCAGAGATCGGACGGGTATTTCTGGGTAATTTCCCAAGAAACTTCCCAAGAAAATGTGAATGAAATGTAAGGGGCATCGCTGACTTTCGACCACATTTCCTTCCAGGCTGGGAGCAAAGCTCAAGGGAGGCCCCATTGGCTACGATTTCTTTGAGATGCAGTAAATGCAGCAGTGGTCACAACTTTGCATGCATCATTTTCTTAATAGTGATAAACATTTCTTTATAGTGATAGTGGAAGAAAATTCTAAGATGCACAAGTTCATAAAGAGGTACACACTACTTTTATTTTTACATATTTATTTTTGATACTAGGGATTGAACACACTAGTTTTGATAAAGACAGGTTCTAGAGGATTACAGAAAAAAATCTAACACTGTAAGCAGTATTTTCGGCTCTTACCACTCAACTTTGGGGAGTAATATTAGCTGTGGAGTTTTTTAAGATTCAAAACTGAATTGTTGCTGATGCTTTCCTAAGGTTTTAATGGGTTGGTAGCTATATCATTTCTCCCACTAATAAATACCATGTAGAAAGCCATAAAGATGTGACACCAATGATTTAAGATGTTGAGGTGATCACAGTGAATTTATGCTGAAGGTTCTGAGACATTTGCTTAGCAAGGTAAAAATCCAGAAGGTAAAATCATTGCAAACACAAAAAACAGAGTCTATGGCTAGGAAGTAAATGGTGATTTCCTGGACTAAGAAGTCTCTGTTCGTAAAGCTATCTGTGAATCAAAAAAGTTATTCAGCCAAGGTTGATGATCTTGCAGAGCCCTAGAAGGGAGATATGGTCTTTGCTGCTTATGACAGCTGTCACATACATCCCAAGGATAACAAGTGCAATCAAAGGAGACTTTCAAGTCCAATTTCACTGACATAATAGAGACAAAGAATCACCATGGGTGAACAGGTTATAATGAATGAAATTCAAAGGTACTGCCATTGAAAAAAAAGTTTTTTTTATAGCAAAGCTAGATTTACTAATTTAAGACATACCTCCTAAATAATGAAATAAAGACACCTACATGAACTTACAGGGAGACTAACACTTTCTCTAGCCGTGACTGAGAAGGACGAGTCACCAACAGAAATGGGGGTGGTCTAGGAAACTGCGTTCAGGGCTTTCGTTGTGAGGCGCATGAGGCGTGATCAAAATGTATCGCAAAGTGTAAATTCTTACAGAAAAGACACACTGCCATTAGCCCCTCTCCAGATGCATTACGTCACCTTGAACACTTTTGTTCCTTTATTTTTGGCCACTTTCTGCAGCAGTTCTAGAAGTCTTCCTTCATGAGTGTGTCTAGCTGCGCTGTCCTGGCTGCCTTGATGTTCTGAATTGACTCCAAAAGCTCACCCTTCATACTGATTTTGACTTTAGGGAAGAGCCAGTAGTCACATGGTGCCACAGCCAGTGAATAAGGAGATTAAAATGCACTGTAATGTTTTTATGAGGTTGTCTTTTTGTTGGATGGCACTCACTATATTTTTGATCATGCCTCATCATGCTCTCCAGAGAGAGGACTTCCAGAACTGCTTCAGGAAGTGGACAGAACAGTGGAATAAGTGTTTTCAAAGTAAGGAGGAAAATTCTGAGGGGGTAAGTGGCAATGTGGCTTTTAAAACCACACTGTGACTTTTTAAAAAAATGTAGACACTATTTTGGGGGTCATATCTTATATCTGAATAGTTGAGCTGTTGTGGAATCTGATAGTATCACTACGAAGGAATGTAGATTACCCAAAAATCACTGAGGATAACGTCTAGGCAAATATCTATCTTTTCTAGTATATGCAGTGGAGTGAGACCACCATTCAAAGCACAGTCTCAGCTGGTTCAGGGCTGCCTTCCAGAGCAGTTTAGCTAGCTGCACACAGTGACTGCAGTGAGCAGCACAAGATTGGAAATCCTATATGCCCACTTTAGTTTGCACAGGGTTTAAAATCTGGCTGAGCTACTCAACATATGACCAGAGTGATTGGTGCATTTTACATAACTTATTGGTGGAGGTAGTGACCCCCAGATGAACCCTTCTGCTTAGCCTTTTTTTGTGTGTGAGGGTACTGAACATCTATCGTGTATTTTCTCTTGGAGAAATCCTTGTTTTGAAGGGTGGAGAGAGCGGATGAACAGTATAGTATGTATAAAATGGCAATCACAAGATGAAGTTTAATACACTGAAGTTCTTTCCAAAATGCCACACCTATGAAAGAAGTCCCTTTGTGAGCAGCCTCGAATTAAGTGTGCCCTTCATAATGATCTGTGCTGCTTACAAGGTGGTCAGGTAAGGTTTGGGAATGCAGGCTGTCGTGGTGTCACTTTTACTGGCTTATGTTCAGGATTCAGGTAGTTGTATTTTCTTCTCTTGGTAAACATGAGTTTTCCAGCTCAGCATCTTAAAATGTAGTTACTGAGGAAATGCACTGCCTAATGGGCTTAATGACCCAGGACTGGAATAGCAGGGATCTGGAATGAGGTGTGTCGGGAGAGCGATGCTATTTATATATGAGCAAAGCTTACACAGGCAGTTCTGCATTACCCTTGCTGCGATTAATAAGCTTGCATTCTTTGTGAGTAGCTAATTTAAAATGAATCTTACATGATTAAAAGTACCAAAAATGGAAAGGAACCTTGAACCATCTCTGCCCTGGTAGCCCCGATAATTAATAGACTATGTGTCCAGGATATAATATGACTGCCTGGTCATAGTGTGATTTATAATTGTTATTCCCATCTGCAACCTTCAGTTGGTTCAAGCAATTTTTTCACTGACCTTTGCACATGCCAGAACTCTGTTCTGTGGCTTATGCCTTTCTTCTTTCTCTGTGTGGCGCCCCTCGTCTTTTGTTCCTAAATATCATGCAGCCATTAGGTTCATAAGAGGTTCCTTAGAACTTCTCTCTAATTTCTCTATATCATTTGCATCTCTAGTTTCTGAATCCTGCCTGGAGTGAGTTTTATCATCTATTACATAATGTTCCCGGGCTGCGTTAATTTGACCTTTCTCTCATCTTGAGTGCCAAGTACCTCATCTGCTCTCCATGGCTGTGTAGCCAGTAATACAGCTCTTGCTTCAGGTGGGTGCACCAGTCAAAGCTGTGTTGTGGATTCATTTTCCACATCCCCAACAAGAGAGTCTTCTACTGACACTAAGCATTGCATAGTTTTAAGATCCCCGGAAGAATTATACAAAATTACTAACCTGAAATGCACAAGGGGTGTTATCCACACAGTAAACTCTCAAATGGTAATCCAGAGAGTTACAGGACATACAGCCAAAGACTGCCACCTTGAGTTGCTTCACAGCACAGTCTGTGATTGGCTCTCCTGTAAGGGCATAGGTCCCAAAGCTATCAAGGAGCACATGACAGGCAAAAGGATCCAGAAGGCAGTAACAGGATGTGGATTCATCCTCCACTGACATCACTTCCTGTTGTGAAAGATGTGTTAAATTATCCAAGTTAGCAGAAAGATGGGGCTTAGCACTTTACAAGGACATAAACAAACCAATAGGAAGAAATACTTTTTCAGAATATTTTTATTATCTTAGTTATCTTGATGTTAAGTGTTTTTCTTTTATTAAAATAACCACTTACATCAAAAGCTGACTAAGTGGTTGTGTTTAGTGTGTGGCAGTTCTACTGTGATTAGAATAACAATCATTTTGGAAGTTCCATTTCTGGTTAATGGTTCAATGTCAGCTTTAAAAAAACTTCAAGCATTTACTTCAATTAAAGAAACTTTTATTTTTTATAAAGTTCTATTTCAGGAAATCTTTTAAAATATCCTTGAGGTAATGTTTATTTCTCTTCAACATTTTACCGTCTTTCATTTCACTGAAATCATTCACAAGGGGCCATTAAATAAATGATTTGGGTGTAATGTACTAGAATATTTTACTCTCTCTCTCTCTCTCTACTTTTATATGTGTGACTGGTTTGGGAAAGCATAACTATAACCCCATCTGGATGCAGAAGAGTATGAGGAAGTGGAGAGAAGAAAAACGGAGCTGTTAAAAATCAATCAGAGCAAAACATAACTGGAAGGAGACCAAGACATAGCTCCTGTGTGAACTGTGCGCCCTGAAGACTTTGCCCTGGTACTAGGACTGAATGAATAGCAGAACGCATCGAGACCTAGTTGTGCAGGGTGCATGTAATCCGCTGTAGCAAGTGCGCATTTTCTCCTCCTAAAGAAATATGATTTTCCTTTTACTTCTCCTGTCTGAAGCACCTCCTGTGAAGCTCAAGCTCCCAGGTCTAGCTGGGGCAGGTCACTGTGTGGCAACAAGGTAATTCACCAGCCTTCCGACAAGCTGACTGCAGACGGACATAACAGAATTCCTATCAGACAGATAAATCAGTGCTTTTCACTTGAAATACTAATTCCCTTACAGTCATGCTCTACTGTGCTGGTCTTGCTGGTTGTGGGCCCCTATTATGTACCCTCTGCTCTTGTTTCTTTTTCTGTTCTCTCCTGTCCATGTAATCTCAGGCACAGGGAAAGAGACATCAGTAGCAATCCTCAATGCACTCATTAATCCACCATTTTCCTGATCAACCTATTTATATTAGAATCCACAGGATGGGAAAAGAAATTATACTGTGGTTTGTGTTCTGCACGCAGCTGCCTGCGTGTCTCAAGACACCTCTTATGTCACAGTACACAGGGGCATGGCTTGGGCGGAGGTGAGCGAGCAGGTACATAAGGTACACATCACTGAGGGCAATGACAGCTAATGACAAGAAAATGCTCTTGCTTTTGATCTCTTGCCTCTCCTTTCCACTACGATAGGAAAAGACTAGCCAATAGCTTGAGAATATTATAATGTGCACGTCACAGCTCCTTTGTAGTGAGTCAAGGCTTAGAACCTCATTGTGGTGAGAGAGGTCAATCTACCCAGTGGCCGCCACTCTCAGTTTATAAAGGAGGCCTGGGGGCTCACCTCCCACTTGCCCTGCTGAGTCCGCTTCTTTAGGTGGACGTTCCAGTGCTCGGAGCTGACGTCTGCGCAGTGAGGGATGGTCAGGGCAAAGGGGGTGGTGACGACCATGTCGGGAGGGCCGCAGGTGACTTCTGGACTCAGGAGGACCTCAGACCCCTCGGACTGCAGGCTACATTGAGGAAAGGAGAAAAGTGTACAGGAGAAGGTGCTATGAGTGAGCATTTAGTTACAGGTCATCAAATCCTATGAGCTGAACAGGTTCCCTTCACCTGTACCACACCTTATTCACCAACGGCTGCTCTGAAGAGCAGCTGTTTATTTTAAGCTCCTCAGGTACACAGACCAAGTTAGATTTCAAATCAACAAAATGACCTGTGCTGCTTTGGCACCACAGAGCAGAATCAGCGGACTCAAATGCTGACAGTTGGGTCCCCCATCAGCTGCTGAATCCTTTTTCTCTCGAATAACATTACCAGTGACAAAGCCACAAGCGTTATACAGGTAACTGATCCTGTAGTCTTATTACGATCAGATTACTTTTTCCCCACCACACATTCAGTAATACTTTTAATGCTAGTAAATGATAAAACAAATCATTGTGGAACAAGACAGTACTTCAAACATACAGAGATTCAATATGTTTATTTTGGTTTTGAAATATTTATTTTCTGCCAGTGCATAATACCCAGGTTGTACAGTGATAGCACAGTAGACAATTAGTTATAAATGTACATAATCAAGTACATAAATATGTATTTTCAGCTATTTCAGATCTGAATTTAAAATCATTCCACCCAAACCTGGCATTCAGATTTTTTTGTATTGTAAGTTATTTTCAGTGGAAAGGCAGTAATGAAAGAGATAAAAGAAACTGTAATTTAACAAAAGGAATAATGACATTTCATTGAATGCTTCCCTTTGTATTTTCTTGACTTCTTTTTTGTACAGGGCTGGGGATCAAATCCAGGGCTTTTGCAGGCTAAGCTAACAGACAGCTCTAACACTGAACTATACCCTAGCCCTCAGCTTTTGTTTTGAATCAGTGCCTACAAACAGTAAGAAGAGGTGGTTTTATAGGACAGCAACCAATGCAAATAACTTAGAAATGTGCTTTATGTGTTCTTGAGTAAACTATTTGATTCCTTTTTCTTATTTATTTATTTATTTTTTGGTTTGCTTGGTTTTCACTTGCAAGAACTATCATGCTATTGAATTTAGCCAGTAAAGCAATTTAGTGCTCACAAACGAATAATGCTACAGGAGATCTTGGGTTGACATAAACATAAAACCTTTCACTCACAGCACCTAGGGAGGACATTTAAATATGTCATCCCTGCTAAAAGTCCACCTCTGAGGCAACATCAAGATGAAATGTGTTTCTAAAAGATGACACCTGTCCCACAAACAATTTTCTTTGGGTGCATTTAACACATGACTAATTTCTGAATTGCTTTTGTTGCCGTCTTGTTTCCTCTTACATTAGTTGTGCTCAGACTTGAGCTTATCATCCATAACCAGAAGGATCACCTTCCATCTGCTGTAGGCAAGAGAGAACTGGACATTGTTTACATGATTTTCCTGACTCCCGGGAGCTTCCCAAAGTTCAGTCATCCCCAAAGTCCACACTTGACAGCTCTCCACTGTGATCCTCTATAAACAAAGTGAAGTCGAAGCTCTAAACATGTTTGCATTTACCTTTGAGCAGTCAGCAAGTCTGGAAAGCAGTGTATCAGCAACGGCAAATGCTATCTGTAAAGTGTGAACTAGTGTACTCAAGGTTTGGGGAAAAAAAAAGTAAACTTCAGGTGTACACTCTAACCAGCATGAGCTGCGGCCTGTGTGTGGATGCCTGCCAGCAGCCATTATGAGAGAAGCGTCTTTCTTATAATTGCTGCCTTCATTCAGCACAGACAGGAATAGCAGGGATGCTTATGAGTGACCGATGACAAGCTCTCCTAAAAGAACTATTTAATTGCTTTCAGAGCATCATCCCCCTTGTTGAACATATTGTTCAAACATATGGGAATTTGGGGAATTATTTAATGCCAAGTGAACTGAAATCGGCTAATTAGATGAACCCTCACACTCGTTGTGAACAGCGAGACTTAAGCAGCATTAGTGGGCAGAGGCAGTTCATTTTGAGTATTGTAAAGAGCACAGAATAGGAGTTTTGCATTAAGCAGGCATTGGACATTTCCGTAAGTGCAAAGTAAGTAAATCAAGATTTACATCTAATCCTCCTAATATGAAAATAGTGTCTGTGGGTGTCTCTCTCTCTGGTGATGGAAGAAAACTTAATCTCCCCATTTTCCCCATGATTAATAATAATTTGCCTTTTCCTGGTACCTTTTCTCTGTGGCAATGAGGGAGATTTACAAATATTAATTAAAGCCCTCCACACACCTGTGGAGGCAGGCGTCCGTAGCAGAAGGTCACACGGAAGTCAATCAAAGTGTTGGCAGAAAAAGAACCCTACATTTCTGACTCACCAGCTCCTACTCTCTGGGACCAGATTGCTCTTTTCTTCTCTGTCATTGTTAGGAGATTTCTAGCCAAATGGCTGCTCTTACGACATCTCCAGGAAAGGAGGGGGATGGAAAGTTAGTCCAAGTACAGACTGAGACACAGGTTCAGGACTTTTGAGGACAGGCTGGAGAGAAAAGTCTTTGAGTGTAGACAAAAATAATGTTTTGTGAAAAAAAGCACAGATGACATTTCAGTTTTCTAACATTATATAATACATGACAAGGCAGTAGTCGTGTCCCTGCTGGACAAAGAATGCAACACAGTTTTCTAAAATTGTTATGAGCTAATAATAGCTATGAAGAATTAACTGCAGTGATTTCAGGCCATCGTGTGATTCACCTCACTGTGTCCTATACCTAGTGAGGTCTGTAGACTGAAATCCCTTGCCGAATGGGCTTCGGCGACCTTTTCATTCTTCTGTCTATACACACACAGGCCTATGTGTCCATATGGGTGTCCCTGTGATTCAAATCCTGTGTGTGCACAGGAAAAGATAAATAATGTAAGATCTCGGTCTTATGTGTATAGCCACTGTGTTCAGTGAGACTGCTAATTTGACCTGTAAATTTTCACTGTGTCCATGTAGGCTTTGACAAAGTTCAAGACCTGGTGAATGAGCTCTGGGGGGATTACAGGCACATGGGCTGTGCTGTGGGTCTGCCTGGTTCATCCTTCCTGCCTCCATCCTGCATATCTGTTCTCAAATTAGCATCCTCAGTCATCCTGCTAAGACCATGGCTTGTTCTTGCCCCACGGACAGCTCTGCAGAGTCCTCTAGGTAAACACTGATGTCCTTCAGGTCTCTGTGCCGATGACACCTGAGAAAGCTGCCCCTGCCCATGCCTCCTCGGCAGTTACAACGCTCCTTGCACCACAAGCTGATCACTGCTTTTCTTTTTTCCTGCAACTCTTAATGCCTTCTAGTATTCTATACAGTTTCTTATTATTCATCTTTCACAAACTAAAATGTAAGTTGCATGAGCCTGAAGAATTTTTTAAATATTTTGCTTATAATTGCACCCTTAGTGCCTGTTATTCACTGGGGATAAGGACTCAAAATATCTATTGAAAAAAAAAAAGATAGAAGCCTGCTCAGTGGTTCCCACTGATCATCTCTACAACATCAAAGTAAATAGTGGTAGTAAAGTATTAGAACCCATTGAATCATGTAAGAAGCCACAAGAGATGCTGATGTAAATCAATGAATGAGAAGGAAAAACTCTTCCACACAATGAAAAACTAATCAATGCAGAAAACCATCATTTGGCCATCAACCACAGTAATACTTGATTCATTAAGCACCATAAATGGATGCTAATTTATTCAGTGAATGTTCAAAGATCAATAAAGAACTGTGTGCGTGGTCTCAAAGTATCTTACCACAAGGCACTTGCTAATTACAAAAATGTGAAATACTGTCTCACAATGAAGAATGTTGGAAGATGCAAACCAACACGTGTTATGGAAGTTAACATTGCTAGTAAGAGATGGATGGGCAGCATACACCTCCTGACAGGACACGGTGCAGAGAGCTCCCACCCATTCTATAACATCCCCGCCCAAAGAGCACAGCTTAAATCTCACCAGAGGAAAACAGACAAGTTCAGCTAGAGGACATTCTGCAAAACAAGTGATCAGCACGCTTATAATCTGTCAGTGTCATGGCATACAAAGTCAGACTCCTTGTTCCGGCTTACAGAGACTTAAGACACATGAAAATCCAATGTGATAAACAGACACAGATTCTCATTTGCTACAAAGGACACTGGGTAATGAGGAAAATATAAAGAAGGTCTGTAAGTTAGGTAGTAATATTTTACTAGTGTCCGATTTTGAGAACTATGGTGTTATGTAAGATAGTTGTTTTGGAGACATATAGTGGAGTATTGAGGTAAAAGGGCACCTGATTCACCTTATTAAAAAGTGTACATATATGTATTTTATGTGTGTGTACATGCACAGGGAGATACAAGTATGGCAAGATTAAGAGATTGACATTTATGAATCTGAGTGTAGGGAATAAGAATTCTTTACTGCTCTTGCAAGTTTTCAGTAAGCATGAAATTAGAGACACAAAATAAATTTGGATGGATGGATACATGAGGATAAAAGAACTGGGGACAATTTTCCAGAATTTGTACAATAAAATCAGCAAGGCCACTGCCTATCTTAAGTGTGTACTGAGGGTAGCAGAGGTGCTGCAGCTGGTAATGCTGAGGTGATGGTCCCGCCCACACTGCGCAGTAACTCACATCCCCTGCAGCCCCTGCACACGATGTCAGAAGGTCACGGTGAAGGTCAGCTGCCAGCAACAGCTACTGATGACAGCGGGGGTGGACTCTGTGCCCACACGCTCTGTTTCTGCACTTAATATCTGATCGGATGCTAAACTTGTAAAATGGCATTTTCTTCAAGCGAAAATAAAACAGTTCCAAGTTTAGAGATGAGGATTTTGTTGCTGTTGTCAGCCATGCTGTGCTTGATAATTATCATCCGCTCTTTCCCTCCTTAGGGTCTACATTATAGACTAATGTAGGTTTGATCACCTTTACTTAGAGTATCATTCAGGAATCCAGGCAGGAGAGTAATGATAGTTTTATTATGTCAGGTCCTGGGTCGATACATAATTAAATCATATTTTAA